AACTTGTTCTGAATAACCAAAAGGCTCAGGATGTTGATATTTAGTTAGTAGCATATGCTGGGATCAAGGACTACTATGTTTGTTAAAGTGAATGACTTTGACTTATATTCAAGGTCACAGGGGTCAAATTTGTTTAAAATCTTTAAACAACCTCTTATTAATAACCATGGGTCCCAGGATGTTTACACTTTGCAAGTTGCATCCTGAGATGAAAGCCTATACAACGTGTTCAACATAATGACTTTGTTCGACTTTCAATCACAGGGGTGAAATGTTTAAAAAAAAAATAACATGGTCTTTTGAACGAATTTTAATCATAAATACTGATATTTTGCCTGTAGCTTTATTTTAGATCACTTTTAAGGTTACAAGTGTGAGTTTTATACCAGGTGAGCGATGCAGGCCCATTGGGCCTCTTGTTCTTTAATGTTAAACTTCCATAATCGTCGATATCGACGGAGGAAGGTATACAGATGAAGATGAACCCCACTAGGGGTATTGTACAGACATTTCAGTGCCAATATTTATCGGTACAGTACTCGTTCAAGACTTTGGTTTCTTCCAAAAATTTGTTTTGATCTTTTGTACGATATTTGGCTCTTTGGTTAACTTTCAACTTTTGTACTTTGTTTGCTTTTTGTGTCCTTTGTATTCCTAATTTTAAATTTTAATATTCCTCTTTTTTTTCCCTCTTTACAAAAAAAGTTTGAAACATCAATTTTTATGTAGCAAAACAACCAGGGCTGCTTTCGTGTATCCCAGTTAAACAGTTCAGATGGCACATATTCTGCGACAAACACATGCACTTTGACAAGAACTGTGCCAAAAATACAGGCAGAGCTAAAAATGCACAGTTTCAGAGTTTTGCATCCTCAATACTCCAGGGGATTACACTCACTCACGGTCACTGAACCTTTGGAATATGTTATGGCAAAATTAAAGGCATGCAGCTAGCTATTTGATTTGTCTCAGGTACAAAATAGATAGAGAAATAATTTTGAGGGTTCCTAAAACCAACATAATAATTCTATCATCAGTAGAGTTTATTTATTAATTTTTCATTCTTTTTCACCCTAAGCCAAGGTGGCGTAAAGACTGTATCCAACAAATCACAGATCTAGACTTTATTAGCTATCTAAGTCTGTGACTAAACCGCATGCTCTCTGATTGGTCACATAATTGTGAAAATATACTGAAGTGCTTTTCTTCACAGAAGAAAAAAGCTTGGTGTGTGTGGTCTTTTTGGTAATGTTATAAAATATTGCAGACTATTTCAGAAAATGACTGCATTTGGTTGGAAAAGAAAAGTTGGAGAAAAGGTTGCTAGAACAGCCTCAGCTGCCTTTGAAAGTGATGCTAAAGATGAAGAAAACCCAGAAGACTTGGATGTAGATTGGCTGACATTGGTTCCACCAAGGAAAATAATTTGCTTAGAAGATGCTATTGCAAAGAGCAATAGGTTGAAACAAGAAGGAACGGTGTTAGCAGATTCTGAGAGGTACAGTTTTATAAGAAATCGCTTAAAATTATGTACAAAATGTATGCTACACTTTTTATTAGCTCACCTGGTCCGAAGGACCGTGGTGAGCTTATGCCATACCGCAGCGTCCGTCATCTGTCTGGCGTCTGTCCATCAACTTTTCCTTTAAAATGCTACTTGTCCTGAACGGCTAAGAAGATTTTGACTAAATTTGGTCTGAGGCATCCTTAGGCCAAGGTGACTCAATTTTGTATAAATGGTGGGTGTGGCCCCCCTGGGGGCAGAGGGGCGGAATAGGGGAAATAGAGGTAAAACCTATAAAATCCTTCTACCATAGGGATTAAGCAATTTTATCCTAAATTAGTCTGGAGCATCCTTGGGCTAAGGGGACACAATTTTGTATAAACAGTGGGTGTGACCCCCTTTGGGGCAGAGGGGCGGGGCAAAATAGGGGAAATAGAAGTAAAACCTTTAAAATCCTTCTTCTACCGTAGGGATTAAGGGATTTCATTCTAATCTAGTCTCAAGCATCTTTTGGCCAAGTGAACACAATTTTGTATAAACGGTGGGTGTGGCCCCCCTGGGGGCAGAGGGGCGGGGCCAAACAATGGAAATAAAAGTAAAACCTTTAAAATCCTTCTTCTACCGTAGGGATTAAGGGATTTCATTCTCATTTAGTCTCAAGCATCTTTTGACCAAGGGGACTAAATTTTGTATAAATGGTGGGTGTGGCCCCTTGGGGGCAGAGGGGCGGGGCAAAATAGGGGAAATAGAAGTAAAACTTTTAAAATCCTTCTTCTATCGTAGGGATCGGGGGATTTTATCCTTATTTAGTCTGGAGCATCCTTGGGCCAAGGGGACTCAATTTTGTATAAACAGCGGTTGTGACCCCCTTGGGGGAAGAGGGGCGGGGCCAAATAATGGAAATAGAGGTAAAACCTTTAAAATCCTTCTTCTACGGTAGGGATTAAAGGATTTTATCCTTATTTAGTCTGGAGCATACTTGAGCAAAGGGTTCTCAATTTTGTATAAACGGTGGGTGTGGGCCACTTGGGGGCAGAGGGGCAGGGCCGAATATGGGAAATAGAGGTGCAACCTTTAAAATCCTTCTTCTACCATAGGGATTAAAGTATTTTATCCTAAATTAGTCTGGAGCATCCTTGCATCTTGGTCTTGGTGTAACCCCCCTGGGGGCAGAGGGGTGGGCCCCAAAAGGGGAAACATAGCAAATTCTTCAAAATCCTTGTCCTTCTGTAGGAATGACAGGATTTTGTCCAAATTTGGTATGAAGTATCCTTGGGTGAAGGGGAACCATTTTGTATAAACGGTGTGTCTGAGCCTACTGGGGGCAGAGAGGCAGGGCCAAATAAGGGATATAAAGGAATAACTTTAATATCCTTTTTTCTTCCTATGCGGAAGGGAAATCAATTTTGTTTAAATGGTGTGTCTGACCCCCCTGGGGCCTGAGAGGTGGGGACCAATAGAGGTAATTTAGCAAATTCTTGAAAATTCTTCTTCTGTAGGAATAACAGAATTTTGTCCATATTTGGTCTAAAACATCATTGGATAAAGGCAACCTGATTTTGTATCAAAGGTGGGTCTGACCCCCCTAGGGCAGAGGGGTGGGGCCCAATAGGGGAAACACAACAAATTCTTCAAAATCCTTCTTTTCCTGTAGGAATGACAGGATTTTGTCCAATTGCATAAATATAACCCCTGACTAACCATGTAATACATGTACACTACCAGCAACATCTAGCTATTCCAACTTCAACTTTACTAACATTTCCAGGTGAGCGATACAGGCCCTCTTGGCCTCTTGTTTATTTTAGTTTCAGTTAACTGAATCTGACATTTTAAGCTCTAAACATCTGTACATCAATAGTAGCCAGTAGAATGAAATGATATTCAAATTACAAATAGAGTACATACAGTTTCTATGTACTGCTATTATTTGTTGTAACCTACTTCTGATTTCTTATAAAAAAAAAAAAATGTATCTGATGTACATGTATGTGTGTAGTGCTTACGATTCTGTGTGTCAGAATTTCATGAATTGTNTTGTTAAATTTAAAAAAAAAAAAAAAAAAAAAAATTCCTGATAAATTTCCCAAAATTAAAAAATTTCAGATACTGGGAGGCAATAAGGAAATGGGATGAAGCCATTAAACTAACCTCAACAGACGAAACATTGTATGAAATGAAATCTCAGGTACTGTAACACACTCCTTTTTCTTGTCGGAAAAAATATATAAATTAAAATGATTGGTCAGGTAATGGCTAGCTCACTCGCCTTTCACCAAGATGGACAGGGTTAACTCTTTGCTTGACCATGTGGGTTCTCTTTGGATTCCTTCCTCATTAACGCATTCACCCCTGAAATTTCATAATGAACTATTCCAACCTTTGAATTGGAAGAGTTAAAATGTGTCTTCAGGGGTGAATGAGTTAAGGCCGCCTGCGCACTAACATCTGGGCCAACAAAAGTAATCTAATATAACTTGATGCATTTATAACTTGTTTCAAAATTGATGTAAAATCAATCAAGTTAATGTTTAAACAAAAAACATACATCTATATATATTTCATTTGGTGACCTGCATGAAACACACTTTTTTTTTACCAGAAGAACTATTTTTACACATTTGTGTATGTACTTACATGTAATTAAAAATAATTCCTTATTCTGTTTATATTTTCAAGGTGTTTCTGATCCTATGTGAACTTTACCCAGCTGTGCATATGGGAGAAAGAGCAGTGGACCTAAAGCCAACGTGGTGGGTGGCTCATCAGACCCTCGGCAGAGCTCGCCTGGGCATGGGAGAGGTAAAATTGGTAAGTTCTGATCATGATACCTCATGATACCTCATGATACACCACACCAGATTTGTTCACAGTGATACATGACCTTTCATTCTTTTGATTGTCATACATCGTCATGTTGATATGATATGTATTGATTGGTAAACGGCTTTACTAAGACTGCTGTTTTTTTTTATAAAATTTTAATGAAGTGGAAATAGATTTTAACCATTACTTTGCCATTTTTATGCCATGTGGTAATATCACATAATTTCTCCATTCAGAATGTTGGTTTTATTGCTTCATTGGAGTTTTGGGATGCAAATTGAACATAAGTAGTATAATAAGTGAGTACCGGTAATGAAATTGTGCTTTTTTAGCAGAAATTATGATACCTGTTATGCTAACAAATAATTTGCATTTTGTTTGAAATAAAAACACTACCACACAGCTGTTACTATCTGATAATGAAGAGCGCTACAGTTTATTGTGTGTTTACCATTAGGAATTAATTGAATAATTCTCTAATTTGGAGACAACACACAAAAATATACACCAAAGAGGTAAAATTCTCAGAGTCATTTCTTGGCATTTAAAAATTTTACTCCTCGGGTTGAGATTTTCGTTATCTCTCTTAAAGTTGTTGATTTTTCTCACACTCCTTAAAAGGAGTGTTTTCGGCAAGAAATGTGAAAAAAATATGCAAACCACCTTGCTTAAATATGATGTCATCTGATTATATCAAAAGTGACATTTCAGATTTTCATTGTCGGATGACACAGTCTGGGTAGCTTGTCTGACACTAGGGTACCGATAGGAATCCTGTTCAGGAAAAAATAATTTTCTTTTATACATTATACTTGTGGTATGTTTGAAGTATGGTTTGTATCTTGGTCAAAAGCAGTGGAGGTCATCAAAATTCTTTTAATAATGGATTCCTTGGTCGATCTGTCATCCCAGTAGCTAAGATTCTTTAAGGATGTCTTTTCCACTGCACCGCGAGTTTTAAACGTGAATTAAATTTAAACATTTTATATGCGATCACAAAAGCAGAACAGCAAAATCCAGGAAAGGGGGAATCTCTCTAGAAATCCCTCCTTTTTCAAAACTTTCCAGGAATATGTGATCATGTCTCAAATAGTCGGTTGTAGTTTCATAATGTACATTGCTAATGTCTTGTTACCTCCCTTTGATTGTATTTTGTACACCAGGTAGTGTATTACGTAGTGTGGATGGTAACCGTTTGTTATGATTTTCTGAAGTGTCATTCATCAATGTCATTTATTTTCAGGCTTTAAAAAGTTTTTCCCGTGCAGTTCATTTGAATCCAGCAAAGCGAGCACTTTGGAAGGATGATTTATGGTGGGCCGCTGAGCTTTGGAAGAAACATACAGACTCTGTAAAAAGCTTGTTGGCTAAGGCAGAACCGGAATCTAGTGTTGTGATTAAAGAATATTCTGAGGATGAACACATTGAAGACGAAGAAAATGTGTCAATTAAAAAGACAGTGAAATCACATGAAAATATGTTCACGCATACAGGAACATCAAAACTGAAAAAGAGGGATTCTAATGAACAATCTGACATGAAACCCGCATCTTTGCCAAAAAACTATGTACATATGAGAGATACTTGAATTTTGATGTACACTTTGTTAATTATATATATCTAATCTTTACTGAATTGAAATACAAAAGGATCGATTATCACTTTATACTAGTATAACAATAATTCCTGTACAAATATGTGATTGTGTACAGTATAATGGAAAATATCCTCATAGATGAGTGAATGAAGAATGACGACCACTCCTTTCTGATTGGAGGATTTCTCCAACCTCGATGTATGACAGTAAGATTACACATGTGCAATAAGTAACTCTCACTTGGGATACATGTATCCCTCATTGGTGTACTCGGTGACCTTTACTATTATGAGATCACAATCAGATGACTATCTTATTTTTGACCTTGCAATTGAAAACCCAACAAAACAGCATGAGACTGACTGACTCCGTGCTTTTTTCTGCTCTTTCAAAAATTGGTTTTTGTATACATTGTCTAGAAATGTTGCTATACTTAAAGGTACATTTGCATTTTTTATATCTTTTTTTTTTAACAAAATTTCAGTTAAGAGGTGAGAGAAAAAGAGTCATTCGTTATTTAGGCACATGGGATATGGACATTCTACACCCTCTGGTAGAATATGTACATACTGCATGTCTACATATATCGGGAGTTAACAACCAACGTCCATAAGACGAATGTTAAGGTTCTTCTTTCAGGTTATAGAAGGAAACCTAGTCGTATACAGACACCCTCTTAATGTAAATCAAAGTAATTAAATAAAAGAAGAGATGCAACTCATGAATCCAGGCTTCCATGTCCGTATTAATATCAGTGCTGACTGGTTTTGACCTGTAAGGCAGGGCTGTGTTCACAGCAGAGCTATTTCTTGACTACTACACTAGGGCATGATGATGGAGAAACAATGAAAGTCATTTGATTTGAAACAACACACAATATCTTTGACATCACCTATAGCTACTAAGGAAGAAGATATAAAATTAAGATCAAGCAATATTTTTATTGGTACATACAGACTGTAATAGAACTATAAAATCTTCGATAAGTATGCTGTGAGTGATTATATATGTAATTATAAGTACAATTGATGCATATTGTATAATGTATGGGAAGTTTAAGGGTTAGCAAATATACCATTGTGATAATGTCAATCTAAGGTGAAAATTTCCAAAATTTTGAGGAAGGAAAAAAACCTTCACATTAATTAGGTCTCTCCATATTAGGATATATACCAAATTTCACTGACACATTTCAGAGGATTGAAGTGCTGTACATATGAGAGTAAAATATATGAGATATAAAATAAAATGGATATTTTTACTGGTCCTAGGGAGTAGTCGCCCTTGCTTTTAAGGTGATAACTGCTTAGTGCAGAACAGAAGAAGGGGATCAATTATTAATAAAATTGAAATAAACATGTACCAGTATGTGTATGATACATATTAGCAATATTTTTAAGAACTTGCAACAGCAGCATTCTGGAGGTATGTTTCCGACAGCTAAATTTTTCTTTATTTTACATTCAAAACTGATAAAAAGGCCATCACCAAGGGCTGACCAACATCCTGCAAGGGCTGACCAAAATACAACTTGGCTTCAGAGTCGGTTAAACCTCTAGACCTTGTATCCGCTTCTGGATCGAGAGATGAGGATTAAAACTGATAACCCCAATTTAAACTTGTAAAGGATTTTTATTGTGACACCATAAAAGTATTTTGCCTGATTATCATTCTAACAATACTTTATATTTACGCTACAGTCATACTTTTATTAAAAAGTGATTTGTTAAAATCACAAAATGTACTTTTGGTGTTGACTATCCTTTATTATTCTTAAAAGAAATTTGGTAGCATTATAAAGTATAAGCATAGCATGTCCATAAATAAAAAAAATAGAGATAGGATAAAAAAAAATGTATTTTTTCAAATAAGATATGTAGATACCGGCAGTAAGATATTAAGACACTATAGTATTAGGGGCAGCGGTGGCCGAGTGCTTAAGGCATTTGTCTGTCTAAGATCACTAGCTGTTCACCACCAAGTCACAGGTTTGAGGCTTATACTTCGGGCGGTCGCCAGCTACTGGCTGCTGGACTGCGCCTTTTTCTCTGGGTACTTCAGCTTTCCTCCATCAACACCTTGCATGTCAATAAATGAGCTTAGGCGTAACTGGTACAGCAAACTCCAAACAAACAAAAAACTATCGTAATATGTAATTATACCAATGAATGTAGTTATGTACTCAAATTTAAGTGCATTATCAAATTCCAACAGATAACTGCATTGATGAATTGGTTGTTGGTTGTTTGTACAGGGATTAATGTCCTTTTTACAGCTAAGGTCATTTAAGGACGTGCATCCAAGTGTGTTGTGTACTAGTGCATGTGTGCACTGTATGTGTGCCAGAGACGTTATATTGTGTATTTGCCTCCTTGTGATAGCACGGATCTGATATCGACTTCATAGTGCTATATCACTGAAATACCATGACGAAGGCACCCAACACAGCATTCCATCTGGTCACATTATACTGACAATGTGTGAACCAGTTGTTGCCATTACCCTAATTGCTGAACGCTGAGCAGGGAATAACAACATTTTATATGTCCAGGCCTGGGGACAGAACCTATTGCCTTCCTCACCTGGGCGAAGGTTCAACATTTACACCAAAAGTGAGGTATTGCCAAGCAAGATGCTAGGAAATAAAAGGTAGTTAGAAGCAATGGGTGCAGCAGATTTATTTTTGTCACATTTGTGTCCCCAAGAAGAGGGCACAAAAGCATGTCTCGGATTGCGCAGGGGGTTCCCACATTAGTCACTTCCTACGATACATGCAGTGGGTAACAGCAGGTTCATTTTTTTCTCAATCCCCAACCTGCAGGGGTTTGGCATATCCACAATATATGTAATACAAAACATTATACAAAACGTTTCAGTTAGTGTCATTATAATTAATGGTAATATCTTAAGCAGTCTAAAAAACACTACCAGATTTCTCACACTAATCTTACTAAATTGTTGTTAATTGATGTAAATAACAAATATGCAATACTATTAAATGTTAACAATAACAGGGTGGTCGGTGGCACAATGGATAACGCACACACCTTTCACCAGGGTGGCCCGGGTTTAATTCCCTGATCAGACACCTGCCTGACCACCTTGGTATTCTTGGGGTACTGCAGCTCCCTCCCACATTAACATCCAGGTAAAAATGAGTCATTAATATAAGTTGAAAAACTTGTTTCATAATTGTTGCAAAATAACTTAAGTTTATATTGTATAACAATAACACTGTAAGTTTGCTATTTCCTTACCCTTCCAAAATTCAAAAGAATTGAAAATTAAAAGAATACAAAGTAAATTATGGTAATTTGTTTTGTACATGCTTGAAAAGTATGAATTTGTATCCATGGATGCTTGAACTTATAGTCTCTTTCCCTTCTTAAACATTTAAAAGTGAAATAATATGCAGAAATAATATGCAGAATAATCTTTTTAATATCATTTTAGAAAAGGGCCCATCAGTCCTAGTAACTGTGGTATTTAGATTTTAAATTTTGGAAATATGTCAAATTCAGTAAATTTTATTTACCCGAATGTTTTTAAATGAAACTTTATTTTAACGATTTTCAGCTTAATACTAAGGACACTGTATATGTAACCAAATGTAAACAAAAGATTCAAAAGGGACCATGGTAGGGTCTTTGGTTCTGTGTACAATCGATCTTTTCTCAGAGTTGCATATTTAATAAATCTTCTATTGGTGATTTTGGATCAAAACTTCATACTGCTGGGGTGCTTTCAAAGTGAGGTTGTTGTTTTACTTTTTTTCACTAGTATAGTAAACAATGTTTAAAACGGATAACAATCTTTACATGTACTACCTGTTGGGTGACAGTGATACCGGAGGGACAGAATGACGAATTTTAATGTGAACAAACGGCTATTTGAACAGCCCACTATCTCCGCAGTATTGAATTTCAGTGTTAAAACCTGCAGGCATTACTTATTGATACAGCGTAAGGACACTTTTTCTTTTCCAATACCAGTTATATAATGACAAATAATTAAAGCTTTTTAGTCATAATGTTGTAATATCACCTTACTTGTTGTGAAGACACATCATGACCTTAGCTGTTGTGTGAACATTTCATCACATGACCTTATAGCTGTTGTGTGAACATTTCATCACGTGATCTTAAGGTCATGTGATGAAATGTTTACACAACATATATAAGGTCATGTGATGAACTATGCTTTTCTATGGCAAGAAGCAGAGGGATGAAATGTTCACACAACAGCTGAGGTCATGTGATGAAATGTTCACATAACAGCTGTAAGGTCATGTGATGAAATGTTCCCACAACAGCTAAGGTCATGTAATGAAATGTTCACATAATAGCTGTTATGTGAACATTTCATCACATGACCTCATATCTGTTGTGAGGACATTTCATCACATGACCTCAGCTGTTGTGTGAACATTTCATTACATGACTTTATATTTGTTGTGAGGACATTTCATCACATGACCTTAGCTGTTGTGTGAACATTTCATCACATGACCCTAGATGTTGTGTGAACATTCCATCACATGACCCTAGATGGGTTTTTAAAAAATCAAAATAATGATAAGTAGCTGTTGTGTGAACATGCATCCATATCTTTATCTGAATTAAGCTTTTGTGTTGTCATTTCATGACCTTATCTGTTACGTGAACATGCCATGTGTCCTGGCAGTGAGTGCTGTGCATGAATATGTCATCACATGACTTTTAAGCTGTTGTAACAGTATTGTCATCATGTGACCGTGTAGCTGCTATGTATAGATGTTCTATATATTAAATATAATGATTACCAGGAGGGTCACAGTCACATAACATTTATCAGGAGTCAAGGTCAGATCACTATATCTGATGGTTACCGAGAGTCAGTGTCACATCATCTGCTGGAAAACCACTCCAAGAAACTATCGGACAATTACAACTGAGATATAATGGTTACAAGGAGGGGCATCACTATATATTGTTGTTAGCTATTCATGGTAACTTATAATATATATTGTATATACGTGTAGTGACACTCCTTAAACAATAACACTTGAATAGATGTTTTGACAATAATGCATAGACCGTATTGTACTTTCTCCAGGTAACCACAATGGGATAACAATGTATATGTAAATACAGTGGCACTCTCTTAGGAATTTAGGTGGTACCAGGGAAAAGTGTAATTAGGGGATATAACCCTACTTTATTTTGAAATTTTCAATTGTACATCGGGACTATATTATCGCAAATAGAATTTTACAGGCGACGCGGAGGGGATATCAACCAAAACCACCGAAAGAAACAACATTTTAAAGATATTTTTGAGTGTTTCTTCAAATTCTGGGTCTCTCTGCTCTGGATTGGTGACGTCAGAAATATTCAAAGTGAGGCGAATTACGTTGACCTTTCGGGGTCACACTATTGTTTGTGACGTCATGAACAATCAATTTCATTAAGTGTCAGGGTCAGTCAGGGTCATCGACGTCATTAACAATTGCCAACCGGGCTTCATATGCAAATGAGAAATTTGCAGACGGTATATCATGGTTTTACTGTCACAAATTTCTTTTGATAATACCTCTCAAATAAATTAGAATTATATATAAAAGTTATCAAAATAGAATATCAACATATATATAACTTTAATCAGACGAATTATTTGTATCATCAGTTTAACATTCTACAGTGTTCATAATTCCTGTGAATTTCATTTTAAGTTTTTTTTGCAGATAATTGAAAAATTATGATTTCTTAATTTTTTTAATAATGCTGTAATGAGTATATTGGCAAGATATATTTCGTACAAAAAAACAAGTTTTTTGCGATTAGTTTAATTTTGGGGCAATTAAATATTTATCAAGAAGAGCATAGAATTATGCCTATTCATGAATTGTCTCCCCTTATCTTGTAATCGCTCCGTGTAGGTGGCCACATCGTCGCACCGGCATCAGCAAGCATCCTTTCTACAGGCCCAAGAAGGGACATCACTAACTTCAACAAACATGGATCCACAAACGTTTCTAGACATTGCCACTAAAGTCACAAAACTAAAGATGTATCCGTTTTTCGATATAGCACATTATACTTTGATGTGCATGGCTGTGAGAGAGGATATTCCACAAACCAGTTCAGGTAAGGGCAGCCAGCTACACTTACAGTATCTGTCAGCTTCGTTCATTTGTTACATTTGTTTGATAAATAATTAATGAGTTCGATTTTTCTGTGTTATATATAATTATGTTGTGCTTTTAAATTTGAACATTATTTAACAATTGCTATGTCTAAAAATAGATCGGTCAGCATGCCTAAGTAAAGCCATGATGATGCCAGTGCTGAGTTGTTCTTTTCTGATTGGTGTGGAGTATTACCGTTAGGAGAAAGTCCATGTGATGTAGACTACTTGATCTTGGCAGAAAACGAAACCAAATCGTTTGACATCATAGAGAACTTAAAAGCAAAAAGTTCCATTGGTTCACAATATCAGAAAAAAACCGAATATTGCTAAACTTCAAAGTGAAACCGTTATTTTGTGATTATGCCATTAGACCTGCGGTACTGTATTGCTCTCCCCTCTAAACCAAACCCATATGTTATGGTTCCTATCAAATTATATATAGATCTAGGTCTATTCCTGATGGGAGATACCATTATAAGAGTTATGTAGGGGAGCAAATAAACAGATGAACAGCAAGTGCACAGACTGTATACATGTGTACTGGACATGTAGATCTACTGTACTTGTGAAAATGTTAATAGCTAGCACAAGCTCTTCTATTGTATTATATTAATTAATAATCAATGCTNGGGGGGGGCAGAAAGCCATTTATACAGCATGGCTAAACAATATCTGGCAAAAACCTGTTATCTTCCAGACCAGATCACAGTATTGACTGTGTAGGTCTGGTCTACAACAATTCAACCAGACTTAACAGGGAATACTAACTGTCCAATCTAGTCTAACAATACTGATTAAAGCAATAAAGGCGAACAGGTACAGTATAGCATTGTCCTTGTTAAATTGTCGCTGTCTAATTTTGCATTCAAATGTCAAGAATCTGGTGCATGTCAGAATATATGCAGTTTAATTAAAGGCCTGAACATACAATCACCAAGATATACATGTATGATTCTGACATGTTGCAGTTCATCAGTCATTTGCATAAACCCTCCTCCTTGTCCTGTACCCTCCCCCTTCTCTTTTTTTTTATCTGAATTCCTATGAACTCCATATTCCCATGGTTCTCAACACCAAGGGGGAGTGGGGGGATCTTACGTTAAAAAGAAGAGTTGTAATTGTGTATATGTGTCGGAGAAATGTTTTGGGCTATGCTGTTTATTTTCATCAATATCCCTCAACTCAAAAGATGCCAATTTAAAAAAAAATGTCCTGGTGAACGTGCTATAAACACACATAATATTTTCGTATTTTTACATTGTTTTACAGTAAAAATATAAAAATTTGTCTAAGGTAAAATAGTAGCTATAATTTCTCACATGATTGACCTGACACACCTTGATGGTCTTACTGATTAAAATTGTGTCTATGGTATTTAAATGCTAATGTGCTGATGGGTTCAACTATTAGCACCAGACAAATGCCATTAAGTAGTTTTTTGTACAGCTTTAGAATAAAGGAGGGCTGAGTACATCAGTAATTTTTGATTTAATTGGGTATGTACATGATTCCTTGAATATATAGCAGCATTTAATGATACATCTTTCCATATGTACTGAATTAGACTGGCCCCTGTCTCTAGAATATTGAATTATTTAGAAAAAAATATAACTTTAATACTTTTGATCTCTTGGATCTCGGATTCTAAACTAAGTTTTAAACTAGGGGGAGATAAGCTAGTAGTAAAGCAGTTGAGAATTCTTCATAAGAACTTAGGGGCTGGTAGCAAGCCTAGTACTGAAGTTGCTGGTAGCAAGCCTAGTACTGAAGTTACTGGTAGCAAGCCTAGTACTGAAGTTGCTGTGGTAATGTTTTTGTCAGTTTTGTTTAAACTTTTGTTCAGTCTAGAGATGATAATATGCAATACCACAGTTTTGTTATTATAGCAAAACTGTGGTATTGCATATTTTCATCTCTAGACTATAGTATAATGTCACATACCTACTTGGACTCCAAAGAATTTATTTGTACTTTCTGCATCAGCTGTTTATTTCCAAATACAATCTACTAGTACTGGCATAGCTTAGTCAGCTGGTATCTAGGAAACCAAACATTTGCTGTTGACTGGTAAATACATCTGCCCCAAAGCACTGCCTAATGAACATGTGTAATATTGTGATCAGTTGGGGCCTACAAGTGTATACCAAAACCATCTGTTGTGTACATGCATATATACCGTAGAGCCTATCTTCATCCTGTATTTATCTTCATGTTAATTTATAAGTGCCTAAATAAACAAGTGATTACTGAAATAATTACTGATCTTTAGGATAAATTTATAATTATATAGTCTATCATGTAGTAATAAGCAAGTGTCATAAGACTCATAATCATTTATAACCTTTTATGTAAAAAAACCATGAAACGTTATAATAGCACAAGCCTTCTCAGTGTTTGGAGTTTGTCGGCTGTATAGTGTGATTATCACTGTCAGAGATATATTGGTACACTTTTGCAAATTATTTTGATTGACCAATCACACGCTTCGTTTTATCTTAAATGATCTAGAATGATGTATAAACTGCAAAATTGTGTAGTGCCAGGTTCACAGGGGTGTCTGTGTCTTAAAAAATAATTGTCTTCTTTCTTCTCCATTTGGAACTCCTCTTCACAAACAACCAACAAGACATTTCCTACTGGGTAATGACATATTTAAGTATTTGTAATCTAGATCTGCTTCTGTTTCAGCTTTCACTTTGCTGTACTGAGTACTTAAGATATATATTACATATGTAAGTTGTTAATGGTTAACTAGTAGAGTGTGTCCGTGTTTGTTCATACACCTTTGGCCAAGATCACTAATCACATCGCTTCTATGCACCTTTCCGTGAAAACTAAAGGACTCCCGAAGGGCTCTAATGTTCGAGCTAATTTTCACTCTCTGGCTTCATTCATCAGTTTATACTATATGTATGTTTATACCATTTGAAGAATAAAAGTTGGAGGCGAGTAAATCTGTACAGAAACGTGTAAGTTCGTACACCTTTTCCGGAAAGTTCGTACACCACATTAAAGCATCGTTATATCTGTTACATCAGACGATATAAACTCATTATATTGACGTAATAAATGTATATTTTGAAAGTTAACGATAATTGATAAAATCAGAGTGATCTAGACTTGTTAATAACAATAAAAAGGTAAACTATCGATCGCTGAGTAGGCCTAATCGTTGTTTTTTTTTCACCATACTCGATACACGTTGGATATCTGGCTCTTTTGTTATGGTCTGATAGAAGCCACGGGGCCAACGACAGGAGACGTTTACCTTGAAAGTAAGCCAGGAAAATTGTTGTTGTTAATTTCTCGAATAAGTGTAAGAAAGGATATAGATTAGTCTCCTAGTATATTTCTTATCCGAGGCTGTGCCCATTAGTCGAAATATGTGGACCCTGTTACATATAGTGTACATTATTTTTTTACGTGTAGTTGTCCGACTAAACAAAATTGAAATGTTTATTAAGGTGGCTCGACACATCGTCATCAGCGTCCATTTTCGTGACATACTTCCGGAAAAAGTACAGCTAGGACTCAATTATCTTAATCGAAATGTGCATGTACACCGTGTCGTCATTTCCGTATTGCGTATCGGGCATTCAATATCGTAGTGCAAATTATAGTAACACCTGCTGGGCCGTTTTCGTTTAAACGGTCAAACCGATCGGACCACTGTTGTTCGTTTATTAAATAAGGTCGGACCTAGTAATCTGATGCTGCTTTCAGGCGAGTCTTGAGAAAGCCTTGCAAGGCCTGCATACACATTTGCAGGTCCGCCAGGATTTACACCCGAAATTGTTACATTTATAAACGGTCAAACCGGTTGTTCCGCATAAACGAACAGGCCCATGGTAAACAATAGTACACGTGCGTGCCGATGATATGTCAACACCCGATATCAAGATTTTACCGGGAAATGTATACTCACACGTACTTCAGGAATAAAGCTTTCCAATTCATAGACATAAACAGACTCACGGGAAGACAGTGACATGAGACCAGACGACCTCAAGAAGGTCATATAGGAAACACATGGAATGCGGACGTACCAACCTCACATGTGCATATCGCGTGTTTACACGAGTTCATAAGCTCGAGGTCGTTACGATTTTCGCTGTTGAGGGAGTTTCGCTCTGTCGATTAAATCGTGTTTACAAATGTAGTCTACTAGCTTACTCTGTGAAAATAATGTTTTGTAAAATATCAAGATACCTATGAAATGCATGTGTGAGTGCACGTGAGAACGGTATACCATGCGATAGCCTCTGGTCTGACATGTAATTATAAATATACCGTGAGTTAGCGGACTGTGGAATGATGTCCAAAGTGTACATGACTGAGGGTAATTTGGTTCCATTAAAGAACAATAAATTGATAATTTTGATATCATATTTTTGATTTATTTCCATCATTTTTGTTATATGTAAACAGAGACAACTGTCATTGTGTAAATGTCACCCCTCTGCAAAAAGTTCCGATTTTTTTCAAGGAAGATAACTCTCACCCGGATCAAAGTGATTGTAAAATGTAAAATAAATTAATTATAAAGCCATTGTGTATATTTTGTTCAATTTCCCACTCTATATGTATAGAACTTTGTGTCCTGGGTGCTTTTAGCTTGTAGATAATCACTTTTATCCGTACAAATTCAATAAAAAACACTTTGTGTAACATGTGTTACATATTTTGCGATAAATAAAATATTTGTAGGGTTAATTAGAAATGCTTCTTTTCATTTTATTATTGTTGTTATTGTTCCGAACAATGCCACACACAAAAAAAACCGGAAAATATTAGAATTGACGAAAATTCAATTTTTTGGTATTTTTTCCAAACAATTCCCCAAACTATCGGAATGTTTAGATTTTCATAAAATCAACTCGACATAGTTGCATAACAATTATATGAAAGTTTCAACGAATTTTGCTGGTTAATTGCGAAAGTGTGGAGCCACCTTAAG